ATATATTGTGCACAAGGAGAGAAGCTACGTTTTTCAGACGAGTGTGAAGTTTGCCGTCCTCGCCTTCGGCTCGGGACTCGGGTGGCAATCACAAGAGTCTGAAAAAAGCCTTCGACCTGTCCACATGATATTTTTTACAACAATTTTACGGAAATGTTCGACTTTTAAATGTCTATAGAGCGAGTCGAAAGTGGCCAATTTTCACACAGGGCTTACTTTTCTCGATCCTAAGGAAGAAAATTGATGATCATCATTTTCACAGCACCTCTACGGAAATGTTCGACTTTTAAATGCCTACTTATAGAGCGAGTCGAAAGTGGCCAATTTTTGCGCCGGGCTTACTTTCCTCCCTCTCGCTCTAAAGTAGGCATTTAAAAGTCGAACATTTCCGTAACACACATATATGCACAAGGCCAAGTGCAAGCATACACGCAGCGCGGAATACAGAGGAAAAGAACAAGAGAGACAATAGTGTGAGAGAGAGAGAGTGAGTGAGAGAGAGAGAGAGAGAGAGAGGGGGGGATGGAGAGGGAGGGAGAGAGCAGAGAGCAGCAGAGAGTGTGTATACTACATTTGTGTATGAAACTGAGTTTATAGTATGACATTATTGTCATAACCCTGCTTAGAAAATGCTGTACTCTGATGTCAAAAATAGAAAAGTTACGCCGTTATCTAACGATGTAGGTAATATATAATTTCTTACTTAACAAAAATTTAAAAATTTGAATGTTGCGTTATGATATTCCGTTCGTAGGGTACAGAACAAGAAACTGATTAAACTTTCCACGCAGTTATCAATTGAGACTACTTTAAGAGCAAAAAGTCGACTTTCATCGAAACTGACTTGGCAGAGAAGTCGACTTTTTTAAGGACAAAAGTCGATTTGAAGTCGGCGAATGTCCCAAAAAAACGCTGACTATAAAAGTCGACTTTCCGTCATGACTATAATAAAAGTCGACTTCCCGTCATATGACTAAAAGTTGACTTCCCGTCATAACGAAAAATCGACTTCCCGCCAACTTTTAACGTCGATAAAATAAACCGCCACGTACGTCTGGAGGTCCATTGTGTATCGAAACGAGGTAAAAATTACAAAAGTGAACAGATTTTACTACATTTTAATAAATAAAATCGTAGATACGGTAATGAATTTCCTCACGTTTGTAATTTTTACCTCATTTCAAGATACACAATCGACCCCCTGCTGGAGAAACTATCGGAAGTATCGGAGGAAGTCAACGGGAAGATAATGCGATGACGAACTGTGAATGACGACTGACGACGACGACGACGATGTTTCGTGGCGGTGGTCGATAGCGCGGCGCTTACGACGTCTCATTGTGTCTTGTCTCGCGGCACGTAGGTATTTGCTAACGTTTGATTTGGGATTGGAACTTTGAAATTGAGACAAAAGAGAATAATATAGCTCAGACTTTCAAGTTCTTTCAAGTTCAGACGACTTGTAGAATGTTGTTTTTACTCGTAATAAGTTGTAGCTCTACTTGGTTTCATTTTCGGTTTGTCTGCAAGAATTATCAAAGCAAGTAGGTTTTATGAAGAAAGTTGTATTTTCTACGATAAATTTCAACAATTTGCGACGGGAGCTAGGCACTGTAAAAATTCGTGATTTCTCGTAGAATTCATGTAGTATCTATATCTATCTAGAAAAATTATGAGAACAAACTACGCTCTAATTAGTTTTGACTTTTTTCTTTCAAGTTCAATAGAATTGCAGATTATTGTTGTAATTCGTAGAAAGTTACAGTTTTAACTAAAGATTACAAGAAAGTATGCCTGTCGAGTATTTTTCACAATCGGTCCAAGTCCGTAAGAGTTGTCAAAAGTAGTAGTTTTCCTTAGAAATTTATATTTTCTATGCTAAATTACAACTGTGAATGCCTTCAAGTAGTAAATTTTTGGTGGAAGCTAATAATTGTAAAAATTCATAATTTGTGGTACAATCTTGTAGTATTTACAGTACAAAATTACCTTTTTCAAAAAAGGTAAAAAAAGGCGCCAAATACACGCAATGTATTTTGTAAATTCAAAAATCTAATCTAAGTGGTAGCTTTATTTCTTCTTCACAAAATTATGTTACCTAATTTAACTCAAGTAACATGCATTTAAAAAAAAATGTAAAATCTTTAAATTAAATTGCGTCAATTGCAAAGAATATGTATAAATTCAAAAATCCAACCTAAGTGGTAGCTTTATTTCTCCTTTACAAAATTATGTTACCTAACTTAACTCAAGTGACATGTATTTCAAAAAAAGATGTGAAATTTTTAAATTAAATTACGCCAATTGCAAAGAGAATATGTATAATGCTTTGAAGAATAATTGTTGTGCAACTACTTTTAAAAAATAAAACCCAAGTGGTATCTTTGTATTCCTATTCAAGGGTCTTCCTATTCTAAACCCAAGTGATAATAACTTCTTAATTCTCTTTAACAAATTTTTAATATTACAAAGAATCATTTTAATTACAAAGAATTAAAGAAGTAACAGTACAAAATAAAAATATTTAATTAAAATAAAATAAATAAATTTTTTTTGTAAAAAAACTTGGCGCTGCTTTTTTACTCCTGTCGCATTCTTCCTTAAATTATGTTTATTGTTTTTTTATTTAATTAAAAATCTTAGTACTAATGTTTAAATTGTAATGTTTAAATTTTGAAGTCTAGCAGCGCCAAGTTTTTTTTATTACAATTTAATACAACACGGATCTGTAGCATTTTGACACATCGAATTT